CAGGACGAGATTAGTGCTTGGTTCTCCAGGTATGTGGGKCTGAAGGTGTCAGTCTGAGAGTACTCTACCGGTGCCCACACGCTTAGACGGTGGCTCTTTGCTTTGGCTTCTGATTCAAAATACTAAGGAAAACGTTCGGAGGATACTTCACACTGTGGTGACTGTGCAGCTATGGAAAGTAGTGAGTTTTTGACACCCAAACAAATATCTGAGGAACATGACAAGAAGCTAATGGATCATGCCCGCTTGGGTATTGAGGATTTTGTAGCCAATACAAGAGGTTTTTCTAGCTGCAATTTCGAAAGCTGTTTTGATCAGGTTGTGGCTTCAATAGGTGACGATGCCATTGGTAGGATACCGGAGTTGTGGCTGCATATGCTGAGCGTATTAGTCGAGCACATTGGCTCATTTAAGTACTTCGACTTCAATTTTTCCTATATTTTAAAATCATCGCTGCCCCGTTCCAACAATCCGAATATATCGGTCATCGAGGGTTTTCTGAGGTCTCTTGCAAAAGCATTATCCTCAGGTGGTAACTCCATTGCTTCCCTTGAAAAAATCACAATCCTCTGTCTGGGTCAGTTGGATCAACCTGCCCGTTTTTTGCGAATTCTCTCTGATTTTTTTCAGCAGCCCTACTGTGGGGTTAAAGGTCTTAGCATCTCATTTGACAATGTTGGGAATGAGCGTGCAGCATTGATTCAAGGTATGATTTCCAATGCCCATTCATTAGAAAGGCTGAAATTCATGCCTTTTTTTGAGTGCATGCGAAGTGAAGGTATTGAAGACATGTATGTCGACATAGTCCACGGTCTGCTGGCTAGTGAGAGCCTACAGTCTTGTGGGCTTTGGTGGGTTCCGGAAAGGGCACTCACCACTTTAGCCAAGAGCCTTGCATCTATGGACATAGGCTTTGATGGTGGCGCTCCTGCAGAACCGTTGGTCACACCCCTGGAAATGAAAAGTGGGGTCCAAGGGCAGGGAGTGCGAAGAAGATCTCAACTCAAAGATGTGACCCTCTACACATCAAAGCTTAGCCAGGATGCATCAGATGCCCTTGCAGACATGCTGACAACAAACAACACTCTTAAGAAACTGGACATTAGTTTTGAAGTAGGCACTCGTGAGTCGGACATGAAAACGATTGTGAAAGGGTTGCGGAGTAATGTTTGTCTAGAAAAGCTCAATTTCGTATCTGTCTTCAACCTAGGTAGGACACTCCAATCTGAATTAAGGGTAGAGATGCTCTCTACCTTGGAGTCCAATAAGACACTTCGGGAGTTTACTTTGGATGGGTTGTCTGACATAGTTATTGATCGTAAGTTGGCCAGAAACAAGATTGGACGGCAGCTTCTTGAGGTTGCATACAGCCACATCAAATGCTTTTTGATCGGTGAACCCGAAGCTGAAGGCCGTTCGCCGAAGAGGCAATCAGCGCTGTAGGCGATGTCGCGGCCCCAATGATGGCCGCGGTGAAGAGGGGGCCCCGATTTGGTGGCCGGCCATGGAGAGGCGAGACAGAATGAAGGGGTTGGATTTCGTAGGCACGCAACAATAAATGAGAGGCTTTTCGTTTTTCCATCTTCGTTTTTTTTTCTTTTTTCTGGAAATAT